GGGGTTGGGATGGGATGTGTGGGAGTGGGATGTGGATCCAGGGCACTCCAAGGGGCTGGGATGAGCCTCTCTGGGTCTCCATCAGACTCTGGGGCTCAATAGGGCTGGAATGGGGCTCCGTGGAGCTGGGACACAATTCCAGGGGTCTCTCTGGGTCTGATCCCGCCCCCCAGGTCTCCACACAGTGCAGCGTCTTTATGGCTGTGACCTCCTGTCTGACGGGAGTGTCCGTGGATCCAGGTGGGATGGCTTTGACGGGCGGGATTTCATCTCCTTGGAGCTGGGATCCAGGAGCTTCGTGGCGGCCGATGGAGCTGCCCAGATCACCAAGAGGAAATGGGAATCTGATGGGATCGAGGTGGAGAGATAGACACATTACCTTGGGAGCATCTGTCTGGAATGGCTCCAGAAATATGTCGGATACGGGCGGGAGGTGCTGGAGCGCAAAGGTGAGGGAGACAGAATTCCCATGGGAATGTGGGATTTGGGAATGCGGGATTTGGGAGGGTGGTACTGAGGAACATGGGAATTCCTGTGGGGATTCCGTGGATGAATCTGAGTCATCCAACTCCCATGGGAATTCCATGGATGGATCCCACTGTTGTTCTATTCCAGTTGGAATTCTGTGGGTGGATCTCACTGCTGTCCCAGTCCCATGGGAATTCCATGGATGGATCTCACCCTTATCCCACTCCAGAGCCCCCTGATGTCCACGTGTCTGGGAAAGAGGAACACGGGATCCTGACGTTGTCCTGCCACGCGTACGGATTCTACCCCGGGATCATCGCGATCAACTGGATGAAGGGGGATGAAATCCAGGATCAGGAGACGGAGTGGGGCGGGATCGTTCCCAACAGCGACGGCACCTTCCACAGCTGGGCCAGGATCGAGGCGCTGCCGGGGGAGCGGGAGCAGTACCAGTGCCGGGTGGAGCACGCCGGAATGCCGGAGCCCGGGATCTTCGCCTGGGGTGAGCCTGGGAACGGGCAATGTGGCAACTGGGCATGTGGGAACGAGGAATTTGGGAGTGTGGGGCAGCGGGATGGGGGTAACCCTCCCCCTGCTCACCCTCCCACCCTTCCCAGAGCCGGAATCCATCTGGAATTCCCCCCCGGTGTTGGTCGCTGTGTCTGTCATCGCTGCCATCGGCGTCATCATCGGCCTCATCGCAGTCGGTGTCTGGAAGCTCCGAGCCGGTAACTCATGGGATGGGGGTCGGGAAGGGGCCTGGATCCGCCCGGCAGCATTCCGGGGATCCTGTGCCATGGGTGCTGATCCTGCTGATCCTGTGCCACGGGTGCTGATCCCGCTTTCTTTCCATAGGGAAGGGAAAGGGCAATGGATACGACCCCGCGCCCACCAGTGAGTACCAGCAGCGTGGGTGGATCCAGATCCTCCCTGCAGGGATGCCAGGATGGATCCCGGGATTCCAGGGGGGAATTGGGGCATAATGGATGGAGCGGGATTGGAACAGGGTTGCAGCTCAGGGCAGGATTGCAGAGTGGGATCAGGTGGAATTGTGAGCTGGGATCAGGGCTGGATTCTGGAGTGGGATTGGGATGGGATGGACGGAGCAGGATCAGGAGGGAATCCGGAGCAGTTGCTGCTCTCCATGGGCTCCCCAGCCGGATCCATCCCCTGGGATGGGCACAGGGACATGGAGACTCCTTTCCCCACTCTCATCCCAACAGAAATCACAGCCTGAGTGATCCCAGACCTCTTCATTAATTAGTGTTCTATCCTCTCTTGATTATTGATCTCTCACTTCTCTTGCTGGTTGGTGCACATTTTTCAGTCCCTTTTATTCCCTTTTCCCCAGACAGGACATCTCTGGTTCCTGTGATGTGTCCTGGTGGTTTATAAATCCTGCATTCTGCTTGTCCAGCTCTAAACAATGAATTTCTCTCCCAGTCTGGGACCACTGAAGAATGTCAGGCCCCAAACTTTTGCTTTGATTTTCTGACAAATACATGGACACCACCCAGAGCTTGCCCCTCATCCATTATCTCTCCCAGGGATTAAACCCCCTGGCAATGATTGCCCCCAGAGCTGCACAGGCTCCTTTTTAAGGAAAT